CACATAGATGGCTCTGCTAGTGCTTAGCCACAAAGGAGTCAGTTAGTAGACTCTGTGACCTTACCTAATTTCACCTTTCCTTGAATTGGCAGGATAAACTTGTTTTTTTTTTACTAATGCTATCAGTATCAATGGTGTTATTTTGATTATAGACATTATAATTACTGTAATGTAATTGACATTAGTAGTGGCAATGTAAAAAAACATGAAATATTTCTTAAAAATCAAGGAAAAGGGTAAACAAGTGACAAGTAGTTCTCATAATTGACTCATTGGTGACTTAGTACATCTTTGTGCAAAAACAATTAATAAAGTAAACTCAAAGTGGTTATGGTATGTAGGGACATGCCATGCAAATTGGTTTGGGATTAAACTATGTATTATTTTTTGTTTTTGAACTTCTATTTCAACAATGTTATATTTTGAATTTCTCACATAGATGATATGGAAAAGACATGAAATCTAATTACTTTTTTGTTATTCTTCAGCTTCAGATTGACAACTGTCTGAGTGAGTTGGAGTCTGGTGATTTTGGGGATGATGTAAGTTTAGTGCATTTCATTAGAATAATGATATGAGTTAATTTTGTGTATGTGTTTTTTAGGAAAGTTTTTCTTTTTCATTACCATAGAGGAATGTTGTATTATTATTTTTTATATTTTTGTTCATAAAACTTTAGTTTATTTAGTTGTATTCTTGAATCACTTCTATTTGAGAGAAGAGTTGATGGCGCACTCATCTAAACCTATGCCCTTGTTATAATTGCTTATCTTATGAACTGATTTGGAACTTTAGAAAACAATAAATTAAATGAAAATACAAAAAAATAATAATTGTCTCATGATTACAGGATTCAGACTGTGAAGACTGTTCATCCCTGTACAACATATTGGGTACCTGTCTATTTTATAAGGTGTGTATGAAAAACTGTACTTTTATAGTATTGCATTTATTGTATCTTCCTTAGAAAAAATATATATTTTAGATAAAGATAGGGAGTGGGGGGGGAAAGACTTTAGAGAAATGTAACCTCAAAATATCCCTCTTTCATAAACCTCAGGGCAGACTGGTGGCTTCCCATCTATGCACCGAGGACCTCCAACACATGTGGCTCTTCGTACAGCACCACGGGCTGCTCTCACTAACCACCCACGAATCTGTCAGTCAACTTGTGGCTTGGAGACAGGTTTACCCTCCAGGCCAGCCCAGAGATGAGGGACCGAAACACTACTTGCTGATTGTTGCTACGGTGGGATTGCAGATTATAGATAAATTTGTCTTTGTGCTTTCTTTCTTTCTGGTTTTCTTTCAAAGGCATTTTGAGTAAAGAAATGAGAAACATGGTGATTTTTTTTATAGAGTTTGTTTCTCCAAACAGAATCATATGCTCTTGGGACTTCTCTTGGAGGCTGGAGGAGTCACAGAATTGTAAGTTTAATTAAGTTTTAGATGTAGTCTTCCCTTGTTTTCCTCAAATTTTCATAGGTAATCCACCAATCCATATTTATTCATTCATCTATACATTTTCATTACCTTCCGTTTAACTCAGTAAACCCAGGAAAATATGATGTTCACTGTACTATTGTTTTGTGAAATGTGTCTATACATAGATGATCTAGCAAGGTTCAGCTATCAAGGAGTCAGTTAGAGACCTTGTGATCTTACCTAATTTGAGTCAGAAACCTCATGACCTTACCTAATTTGAGTTAGTTAGAAACCTCATGACCTTACCTAATTTGAGTCAGAAACCTCATGACCTTACCTAATTTGAGTTAGTTAGAAACCTCATGTCCTTACCTAATTTGAGTCAGAAACCTCATGACCTTACCTAATTTGAGTTAGTTAGAAACCTCATGACCTTACCTAATTTGAGTCAGTCAGAAACCTTGTGAACTTACCTAATTTGAGTTAGTTAGAAACCTCATGACCTTACCTAATTTGAGGCAGAAACCTCAGGACCTTACCTAATTTGAGTCAGTCAGAAACCTTGTGACCTTACCTAATTTGAGTCAGAAACCTCATGACCTTACCTAATTTGAGTCAGTTAGAAACCTCACGACCTTACCTAATTTGAGTCAGATAGAAAGCTCATGACCTTACCTAATTTGAGTCAGAAACCTCATGACCTTACCTAATTTGAGTCAGATAGAAAGCTCATGACCTTACCTAATTTGAGTCAGTTAGAAACCTCATGACCTTACCTAATTTGAGTCAGATAGAAAGCTCATGACCTTACCTAATTTGAGTCAGTTAGAAACCTCATGACCTTACCTAATTTGAGTCAGATAGAAAGCTCATGACCTTACCTAATTTGAGTCAGTTAGAAACCTCACGACCTTACCTAATTTGAGTCAGATAGAAAGCTCATGACCTTACCTAATTTGAGTCAGTTAGAAAGCTCATGACCTTACCTAATTTGAGTCAGATAGAAAGCTCATGACCTTACCTAATTTGAGTCAGTTAGAAACCTCACGACCTTACCTAATTTGAGTCAGGTAGAAAGCTCATGACCTTACCTAATTTGAGTCAGTTAGAAACCTCATGACCTTACCTAATTTGAGTCAGATAGAAACCTTGTGACCTTACCCAGTTTGAGTCAGAAATTTCATGACCTTACCTAATTTGAGTCAGTTAGAAACCTCATGACCTTACCTAATTTGAGTCAGTTAGAAACCTCACAACTTACCTAATTTGAGTCAGATAGAAACCTCATGACCTTACCTAATTTGAGTCAGTTAGAGACCTCATGACCTTACCTAATTTGAGTCAGTTAGAAACCTCATGACCTTACCTAATTTGAGTCAGTCAGAAACCTCATGACCTTACCTAATTTGAGTCAGTTAGAAACCTTGTGACCTTACCTAATTTGAGTCAGTTAGAAACCTCATGACCTTACCTAATTTGAGTCAGATAGAAAGCTCATGACCTTACCTAATTTGAGTCAGTTAGAAACCTTGTGACCTTACCTAATTTGAGTCCGTTACAAACCTCATGACTGTACCTAATTTGAGTCGGTCAGAAACCTTATGACCTTACCTAATTTCTCCATTCTTTTAGTTTTTTTTTGTTTTGTTTTTAATACTAATGCTATCAATATCAATACTGTTATTATTAGTGTACACATTAGACTTGGACTGTACATACATGTGGCATCAGACTAATCAATCCAACCATATATTATGTCCTGACTGATCATTTAGTTAAGCCGTCTATTTATCAGTCCATCTACAAGAAGCTGACAGACCTATTCCTATTTTAAGAATGAAAAAAATGAGTCTCCCAGTAAAAAGATAACACATTTTTCCATTCTTTGCAGTGTAGAAGATGGAGCAGGACCAGACCCATTCCTCGTGGATCAGGCTGAGGCTTCTTTGTATCAGCTTCATGCTCTCCATGTTCATACTGTCTGTGAGGAAAGGTGAATGTCTGGACTATGGGAGATGCTATAATGGGAAGATATATGTTTATTATCAGATTTTATGTGTTTATTTACTTATATATATATGTGTGTGTGTGAGTGTGTGTGTGTGTGTGTGTGTGTATGTGTGTGTATCTATAGCTATTTACATATAGATATAGAATAGATATAGACACACTCACACTCGCATTCACAATCTCACACACACACATGCACACACACACACATGCACACGCACATGCACACGCACATGCACACACACACATGCACACGCACATGCACACACACATGCACACACACACACAGAATTGATATCTGCAGTAAAGAGTTTAACGTCATTGTTCTTTTCCATACACAGCTTGTTCAATGGGGGCATTGAGACCATTGCAGCTGACGAAAAGTTTGGCCGAGGAACACCCACAAAGAAGGCTAAAGAAAAGAATGATACAGTAGAAGGTTTGTTAGAGTGTAGTTTATGGATAAACATATTATAAAATGTATATATATGTATATTTGTATCTCTCTCTCCTCACCTATCTCTCTTTCTCCTCACCTCTCTTTCTCTCTCTCTCTCTCTCTCTCTCTCTCTCTCTCTCTCTCTCTCTCTCTAACTCTCTAACTCTCTAACTCTCTCTCTCTTTCATATATATATATATTTCATCTTTCACTACAGCCTTCTATCGATACCACACCAGCAACATAAGATGTAAACCCAGTGACATTCCCCACAGGCGGCATCAGACTGCCCGATGTGCCATCAATCCTAAAGCAGAAGTCTTCCCCCTTGCCCGAGTCACGGCTGCACATCCATGACCACACTGGATGCGAGTGCGAGGGTAGTGTTGGGGAGACCAGCGAGGATTCCTTCACACACAGCTCCCAGGGCTCCTCACTCGCCTTGGAAGAGGACGAAGGGGAGGACGAGTCTGACTACGACTGGAGGATCTTCAAGGTGTTTGATGATGACCTCTGGTCCATTGTATATCATGATATAAGATAAAGGAACACATAGATAAAGTACATATCATTAATATTTACTTCTTTCAACCAAAAGTGCCAGTTTGTAAATTTTTCAAGCAGTTAGTTAAAATGAAAAGTGTAATAATTGTAGTGAAAGATATCTCAAGCTGTTATTAGTAATGGAAAGTGAGTCTGGGTTTCTTCTATTCAACAACAGTCTACTGAGAGTCGTGGTCTTCACCAGTATGATCTGGATATAAAGGCACCAACCAATAAACATCCCACCTCTCCAATTCGGTAAGGGCTTTCTATGACTTTCTATTGTGAATTTGAAGTTTTTTCATCATCATTATCTTTATATTTGAATAGGTCACTGTTACTAATTTTACAGTTTCTTTCTCTCTTTCCTCTTTCCCCTTTCCTTCTCCTTCTCTCTCACATTGATTATGTATACATTAGATTATTCATTTACATAGTTCTATTTCATTTTTTCTTTTTTTCTTTTTTTAGGATTACCAGTGGGAATGAGAGAGTTCTTTTCCACATGGTGCAGTTGGAGGTTGGGGAAGGGGTGATGGTCCAGTCCATTCCCCCTCCAACCTCTTCATCTCCCACTGGCTCTCCCTCCTTGAGCTCTCAACCACACCCTCCTTCACTCCAGGCTCAGGTTCTCAATAACTTTCGGTCTGTTTGTGCTCATATACACCATATACTCCATGCAGCTGTAAGGGGAAAGGTATGTGCTCTATACCTCTTAGGAATTTTTAACGTGATTGACAGTGTGATAGGCAGATGGCATTTTCTAGTAGATGTAGATGTAATTCTTTGATTCTGACGAAACTGGTATTTCAAATACTTTCCACACAGGAACAACATGGCATTTATGGAAGTAGTACTGCCCTAAATGGCATAAAGGAACATGGTGTCTTATTTACATACACACCCCCTGCAACTGATGGCACAAATGGAAGCAAAAGAAGACCTCCACCACTCTCTTACTGGGTTGTTGGGTAAGTTTGTGATATCTGTGCGGTGAGAGTCCTTGTCTATACATATTAGAATGTGATATTAGCTCTCTTTTAGCCTATCCTTATTATTCCAAAATTATCCCTTGAATATAGGAAAACAACTTTTTAAAAGATGATATTATAACTTTGTAAAAATACTGTACAGACTTGGGTTGAAGTTAATGCAAAAAGCTATCATAATAATGATAAAGCTACTAGGTATTCTAGAATTATCAGTACTTCTTACTATGATTATACTAATGATTTGTCAGCTGCTCATAAAGAGGTTTCCTGTTGTTAAATGGTCAGGACCATACTTAATTATAGAGCTGCTTTTGAAAGGGACTTTCATTAAACACAATCATCAGAAAGTTCAGTGTCAAGAGATTTGGATGTGGCACTAGATACTAACTTTAGTACTTTCCTTTTCCAGAAGACTACTGGGTCCACCATATCATCGAGAAATTTACATCTGCTACCATGAGGCCATTCCCCAGAATGTAATTGAATTAGCTTTCCGAGTGTCACTGGGATGCATCATTTGAGTTATGATCAGTCACACCGAGAATTTAATTCATATTTGTATCACATAAGTTGGAAAGACCTCACATCACTGTTAAAGTAGACACCATTTGTTTTTGGCTTTTTTACATTCCATGTGCTCCTTTCCACATTTTATGTATATTCTCTGACTTACAACAGGATTTTCCAAAAGTTTGCACTGGGCTTTGCATAATGCCCACTCAGTGAAAAATTGAAAGTGCATGACATTTATTAACCTTGCTCACTAAGATTTTTAATGTAGCATATTGGATTTTTAAGGAAATGAGACTAAATGGATACTTTAATCATTGACCACAGGCTGGAGAGCATATAGACCCATTTCCCAAATATAGAAAAATAAAAAATCTAAAAGCGTGGACTATAGTTGCTTAAAATGTCAATGAATAATAATCGAGAATTGCAACTATGGTTTACTTATGTGGTCTAAGGGTTAAGCCTATTTTTGAGGGGCTGTATCTCCACAATGATTGTAGGCAAGGCCAAACAAGCAGACAGTTGTTCAACACACACATCAGAGGAGGCATGTTAGTCGTGGCATGGCTACTTGTCACCTAGCATTTTGGCCCAATTTGCTAGGATGTGATTAGACAGTATCTGACATGAGTGGGTTCATCATTACTAAATGATCTGCAAAAATTGTGATCAAGAAAAGCCTATAGTTGTTCAATTATCATAAGAGGTTTATTTGGTAATTGTTGTTGTTAATAATATGTTTAAGTACTTATTAATGTTTAAGAGAATCACTTTTATTCTTTCCAAGGCAGCTAGGAATATTTCCAGTTATACAGTTCCTGTGTATATCATACATATGTATTGTTATCATGTACTTAACTCAGAAACTAAAAGATTCTGTATAATTTGATACCATTGGAGTAGGTAGACTAATGACTGTTTCGGGTTTACTAATGCAAATTAAAGAACATCTCTGATCTCTCATATGAAACATTCCATGAAAAGACTTTTAAAACAAGAAATGATTATTAACTTTAGTTAAAAAGTCTTAAATACGCGTAATAAAGATATACCTTTGTAATACTTTTTACTTAAATTAGTAATGTTATTTTATACTTTTGTATTTTCATAAATAAATTAATACATTAATTATTTTTGTATTATTAATATTAAACATTTTTTATTATTTTTGAATATGCTTCAAGTTGAATTAGGTACCAGTGTACTAGGTCAATTAAAAAATTAAGAGAACTCTTCCATAGGTAGAAAGACAGTTAAAACCTAGTAACAACTGATGTTCCTGTATATTCAAGGTTGACAGAAAAAAGAAAATTTCAGAGCACCACTTTAATAAATCACCGTTGTAACAAACTGTACATTTCTTTACACACACATGCTAGCTAATATAATAATCTTTTGCTCCTTATCATTTACATACTTGTGTAAAGTCCTTATAATTTTCTAGGGTCACACAAAATACATACTGCATGTTCCACCATATTACCAAAACAATTAATCTTGTGCAATTCATTACATTTAAAATATCTAACTGCATAGTTACTAAAGGTGTATTAATCTTACACATTCTACATCTAAACAATATCCAAAAGTAGCGGCAAAAATAATGTACCTCAGTTCCAAAAGCCAAGCAAGATGAAGCCAAACCAGATTCAGTGGAAAATGATAGCACAACCTTGAGTCAATTTAATATCTGGAGCCAATACAAAAAAAAAATAATAATAATAATAAAAAAGAATCAGAACCAAACCTAAGGGGTTATGCATTTATGAATTATGTATTACTTTATTTACATTTAAGCTTTCTTAAGAATACAATTCCTGATATGAGACAAGTACAGAATATAATAAGGTGCTGAACGAACCTTAGGACATCCAGCTTTTGCTTAGTGCATGGAAATACAAAGAATTATCAGTGTCCACCACAAACTCACACAGGCTAAACACTTTGCTTTAGACTTTAACTAACTATAACCTTACAAAGAGCACAATCCCTTGCCATCAATCAGTACCTTAATAATGCAATTAAAATTTTGCAAGATGTCAAAATGAAACACTGTAGATAATGAAATTAATCTTTTGCTATTTTCATACTTTTAGTCATTACCAAGACCTACTCAAAATTTTTTCTGACATATTTACCACATGAATGGACTTCTCCTTGCCTCTTTTGCTTTCCTTCTCATTTCAGCATGTCAATCTCCTTCTAACTTTCTACACACACTTTCCCAATTTTCCTGATCTCTTTAAAATCAACCTCTTGTCCTAACACTTTATATTTGGTGAACACTATCTCTTCCCTCAATTTCAATACTTCTTAACTAGATTCAAAACAAGATCTACAGCTTCTGCACATATGATACACAGACCTACTGAACAAACTTTCTCTTCTTTCCTCACCTATGGGCAAGAAAGTCTTCCTTTATGTTGATTAGCAGTTCATTTTCCTGATCCTCTGCCAGAACTAAACAACACAGGTTTCATGATAATATATAGATATATTTTTTTTTCAAAACAGCACACCAAATATTTCCTTTAAAGACATCTCAACAAAAATAAGGGCAGTATAACCAAGCAAAAAATATATATGCACATATATGTTTGCTATGATGGAAAAATAATGAAAAAAAAAGAAAATTAAAAAAGATAAAGAAGAAGAAAGGAGAAAAGGAAAAAAAAAAAAATCTTTATAAACCTAGTAATTCTCCGTATGTATATAGATGTATGTATAAGTTTGTGTATCAGTGCACCTGTGCGTGTGTGTCTGTCTGTATGCATGTGCATGTCCTCATGTGTGTACATAAGCTATTGTACAAACTTTTATATATATCTGTGTGTGTGTGTGTGTGTGTGTGTGTGTGTGTGTGTGTGTGTGTGTGGGTGTGCGTGTGCGTGTGCGTGTGCGTGTGCGTGTGCGTGTGCGTGTGCGCGTGTGCATGTGTGTGTGTGTATGTGCGTGGGTATGCATGTGCATCTGCATGTTACTTGTTAATGTTAATTTATTGTATCACATACTCCACATATATACTATATATATATATATATATATATATATATATATATATATATATATATATATATATAATATTATACCGCATATATACCATGTATATACACCATATAAATACCATATATATACCTGATGTATATTTAGACATGTTTAGCTCATTCCTATTACATGCTAGCATACATATATATAAAATAAATAAAGATAAAAATGTTGGCATATAGTAATACACACAGAACTGGTTACTAACGAAAAACACACTACATATACTAATTCCGATTTAAATATTTGTGTACATCAGAGGCTTGCAATAAAGACAATGAAAAATAATCAACCAAAACTTAGCAATGCAAAGAGCATAATCATTGATTTGATCAAAATTCTTCCTAACAGCAAAAAGCCAATAAAAATGGATTTGTATGGATAATGCAGATCCATTAGGAAGGTCATCTTTTATATTTCCTTCACCTTACAAAATCAGATATTTCTTCTTCTTCAGTGTGGAAAGCAGTATAAATAAAAGTTTGATATCCGTGTCCTTTAACAACTAACTCAACCTAAAGCTTTTCAATTCACTGTTTTAATCTTTCTGCCTTCTATTCTAACCTAAAGGCCTACTGGCTGTTATCTGCTAATGCAACAACTACAAAGAAAACAATATGCCAGAATATATCAATAATAAAACAATAACAATATATAAATCAACACTAGTAAAAAACATCAGTTTGTTCCTTTTTACTTCCTGTATTTTATATCACTTTAATCTCTGTATAAAGAAGACAAATGAAAAAACTCCTTCCATCTTGAAAATCACAGCCTCACTCAATACAAAGTCAACATGACAGAAATACAGTACTCTTTATGCCTGCAACAAAACCTATCAATATAAGCACATCAGCTTAATAACATGAAGTTAAGTTTTTCTATCTGTTGCTTAATATATGTACACTTTATTCTTATTTTTTGTTCATGTTTTACAACTACCATGTCTACCAACTACCAGACTTCATTTGAGTCTTAATGGGATGTGCTCTATGCTTCAGTTCCTTAACATGTTCATAATTCACATTATGAA